CTGCCCTCAGGGCCAGCAGCTGTCTAGCACAGCCTCTTTGGCAAAGCACAGAAGAAAAGCAAAGGGCAGAAGCACTCTGCTCTGTGAGATCTTAGCTGGCTGCAGAGGGTCAGCTGAGGTGTCATTGCATCCTGGGGCTGAGACAGAACTGGACAGGGACAGTGCACATCTGTCCTGTCTTCCTCCCTGCTGCAGAGTTCATCACCAGACCTGTGTGCCACACACACAGTGGGACCCAGCCACGGTTCAGCAGTGGACCTGAGCTGATTCCTGTCCTCTGGCTCCACAGCAGTGAGAAACAGCCCACAGCCTAGGTGCAGCTGCAGGTGTCTGCTCGAGCTCCCTTGCAAACACCCAATACAATGTTTTGTGGGTGGGTTTTGGTTTTTTTCTGTGTGACTTAAATTCCCCTTCAGAAGGGGCTGTTTTATTTTACTATTTCAAAATTACCTAAGACCACTAGTCATTAGATTCTAACACTACATAATTACAATATGAAACCCTTGCTCAGAGGGGAGCTGTGAGAAACAACACCTACAAAAAACTTTTCTGAACTCCACTTTTACTCTAGGAGCAGCCCCTCAATCCCTTGAGAAACCACTGCAGGCCCTGCAAGTTGCCCTTTTCCAGAAAGTGATAATTTTATAGCACACTTGAGTAGATCCCATATCCTGCAGCTGTCTTGCAGACTTACTTTGTAGTATAACAGTCTGTGGATAGCAACCTCCTCTTACTGATTGTGAATTTGGTTTAAATTTGGAAGACTTTCATAAACGGTTGCAGTGTGGGTTTATTTGCTTGTGAGGCTTTTTTGGATGTTGTTTCCTTTCTGCCAAGCATTAAGACTGTGCTTGTAAGCAGCAGATAGATTGGTATAAGTTGTTACCCCAGTAAAATTTATCTATTGCCAAACATAAATATGCTTAAAGTAGGGAAGAAGTGGTCTAGACCTACCTCCTTCCCCAAGTTTTGGAAAAAAGTCCTTGCTTTAAGTTTGGTAGATCCAAATTTTAACCAGGTAGAAAAATATCACTACTTAAACAAGGAGAGTTTTCTTACTCCTCAGTTATCTCTGCTGGCATAACCAATCTGGGATGGTGCAGTCCTGGTGATTGCAGTCAGATGGGAATCTCCTGGGCCAGTGTGTCAAGCTCAGCAAATCCATCCCAGCAGCAAGCAGCCTGGTTTATATTTTGCTACTATATTGCAACAGATAGTATGTTTAAGTTTTCACTTCTCTGCCAGCTGTTGAATTGTTAAACAAAATCTTTACTGATCTTAAAAATATGCCTCAACTAGTCAGGAACTAGTCAACAGTTAGGAAAAATTACCCTCACCCCTGTTTGGCCCTTACTTTTGAGGCAGCTTTTCCTTTTGCAAAAGGTTATATGCCAAACTTGACAAGATTCTGTGTCTGGCTTGGAATTTAATTAAAAATAATAAAATATAGATAGAAGAACATTGGATAAACAGCGTCACTCTCTCATTTTGGCTTTGTTTCCAGCTTGTCATTGGACATTATAGCAACATGTTTAAAAACCCCAACCAAGCACAAACTTTGGATTCTCACGTAAGAATTTTAAGGGACTTTAAGAAATGTCAGTAGATATTTCAGGTTCATAGGACAGCTGTGGGCACTGGTAGTATTGTTAGGGGGTGCTGTGCTTGCCAAAGCCCTCATGACAGTCTTATACAATGGCAAAGACATACTAGCAATGACCCCCTCCTGCCCACAACAGATACAGGGATTCAGACATGCCAACAAAGTGAATGTAGTGCAGTGTATGTCAGCAGTGCAATAAATTTTGATGGGGCCAGAAAGGTCTTGACTGAGGAATACAAAAGGATCGCATGGGAGCAGGGAGATACTCCATTCACCCAGAATGTGAAGCGGAAAAGTGATACATTTAATCTTTTCATTTAATAGCATAAAGAGATCAACTTCTACCTAGATTTACAAATATTACAAAGAGTTTGTTTGCTGAACTGTGTCTGAAATGGCAATATTATTTGCAAATTATTTTATATAATTATTATTCCAAATAATTAATAGTCTTGGAAACTGCTACTACTCCTGTATACCAAGGGTTATAGAGTACAACAGCTAGTACCTTAAAAACCTAAATCTTGATGCAATTACAGATTGAATGAAGGCTGATAAATATTTAGCTTTGCCATTGGAAGTAGTTATATTTAGTATCCAGTTTCATTCACAACTGTTTCTGTTTTGTTTTTTTTAAGAGACTGATTTTCTTCAGATATGCTGTTGTAAATGGTCACAAATAAAAGGCTTGTCTTTTCTTCCAATTTATTACTGCCCTGATTTCAACTCCTTTAGCCTCTCCTCTAGTATCAAAAGGAAGAGAGCACATTCTTTACAATCTTCATTCCATAAACTTCAGTCTGCTGTCCCACTATTTTTGTGTCTCCTGTGGTAACTAAATTCATTAGTCATTGAGGCATCACATAATCACACAGGTGAGTGTGGGGGGATGCTCTGACAAGCAATTTAATAGGGACAGGTCAATAAGGTCAAATAACTAAAATACAATTCAAAAGAAGCTAAACCACTTAATACTGTGTTTTAAAAACTTCCCTGTATCTTTCTGTATTTTCTGTTATTTTTAAAATCCTGATGTTTGTTAGTCTTCTAAGATAACCTCCAACAAACCTCTTGGAGCTAGCTACTTAATTACATCTTTAGAATTACATACTTTATAGGAAAACAGTTCATCAAATATTTGGGTTTTTTGGGAATGACATTTCACAAGACTAAAAACCAGTGAAGAGTAACCATTTTAGATTTTGATCTACTGAGATTTAATTGCAACAGAAGGCAAGGTGAATTAAAAGTCACCTTGAATTGACAAATGTGTGCTATGAAAAGTTTATTAGCAAACGTATTTTAAAAATGAATAGTTGTTGAAGATGGTAGGTATAAAAGGAAAACTAATTATAGCAGAAGCCTGTTGTTAACAGAAAATAAGTATTTTAATACTTAATTAATATTTAATGCAGTCTTGCTTCAGCTCTTGATAGAAAACCATGATATACAAAAATGTATTTTAACAGAATACAGCCACAGGTCAGAATAAGGGAAGAACAATATTTAGTAAAAATAAGAAAGCTGGCTTCAGCTAGACAGGAGCAATTCAAAGAAACTAATAAAACCTATTGTGAAGCAAAATTTTTAACCCTGTAGATGAGAAGAACCTAGAGTTCAGAAAGTTCAGCAGGAGGGGTGTAAGAATAGTAGCTGGAATCTGAAGGACTGCAAAAAATTTAGGATAGTTTAAAAAATCTGGCCCATCAGGAAAGATTAAAACGCCCTGAAGATTAAAAATAGGCAAACACATTCTTTACAAGACAAGGAAATTAAGCCAGTTTAAATTCACTATCTCAAAGATAGGGCAAAGATCTCAGAGTCACAACTCATATGTGAAGAGCCATGGGAGGAAAAAAAAAAAGGGAGAAAACAGATAATCCAAGTTTGTGACTCAGAGGTTCTTTAAAACAGTATGGGTGTAACTGACATTGCCACGAAACAGAATGAGTGGATTGGTCACCAGCCAGTCAATATATTTCTAATTCTATACGGTTGTTTTTGTTAGGGTTGTGCAGACAGGAAAAAAGTTTTTTTTTCTGCTCAAGTGGTTACCTCAGGTATTAACATTAGTTTTATCAGAAGAGTTACAGGAAAGTATGTGAAAAAAACAACTGATCAAAGACCTCCCTGCCCCTTGCCAAATAACTGGCCACTTCCTGGTGCATGCTCACATCTTGATGGGAAGCCCTATGAAAGGCAGAAGCAGCAGTATCAGGACACTTGCCTAGCAAATGCTTTCCTTGCTGCTGGACTTCATGTCCTGAGGCTGTGGAGGGAGTAATTTTGGCCAGTCCAGACTGGCAGAGTGTCTGGTGTATGTCAAACTAAGCCACAGCATAAGAGATGCATCGCTTCCTTTGTGAGAGTTTTCTTTACAAGACTGTTAGACTGAATTTGTTCTAAGCACCTGAACTAGACTAATTGTGGTAGAAATAAAATTGATGTATTATTTAACTAGGATTTACAGAATCAAGTGTATGTTATGGTAGTACTTTCTCAATTATCTCATCATAGAAAACAGGAATTGCTCAGGAGTGTAAAAATTTCCATACTCATGTAAAGTTAGGACCTATTGGAGAACTCCCAACTGCAGACAACAATACACCTCCAAAACCACACCCTGTAACAAAGTCTGCTGCTGCAGTCTTAATCCCATGTTTGATTAACAGCAAACAAGAAATGCACGTAGCCTTCCTCTCTGTACAGCTACATTTTGATTAAAAAAAAATGGATGTAGTTGCAGTAACAGAATAAGCAATCAAAGTGTAAAGTTAAACCCAACAACTTGGGCAGTTGATGTCTTTTATGAAGTCCCTGGGCTAATGCCAGTGTTTGGCTCTCCCTGGAAGGAAACAGTAGTAAGGCTTGTTGATGCTGCAGACACTAATTATTCAGCTATGACAAACAAAACACAGGAGAGCACTGCTCAAGTCTTGCACTAACTTGCTATTTCTGTTTTATGACTACATCTGTTGCCCACAACTCATGCAATTAAAACTGTGCCACTATTCATGTCTAATTTAAAAAACAAATATCAAAGGCAATCGAATTTCTATTCTGGGTCAACACCATGCTGACACAAAGCCAGGAATACACAGTAGCACTGTACTCTACTACTTATTTGCAGTCAGGAGGGTTCCATCAACCACGAGCTGGACTGACCTGAATAAAGAAAGCTTACAACATATGCATAGCCTTTGCTAGTTTGCAGTCACTAGCACTATTATACTATCCAGTTGGGATGCCTGCTTTATGTAAGACACATGGATACTTCCTCATTCCTCAGGTGGCCTGTGTGTAAGCTAGTGAAAAGCTACAGGGAGGATTTGCCTCATAGTGCATTTACTCTGTTAAAAACCAACACGATGATTTGAAAGAAAAAGATAAAATAGTCTGGTGGATATACATAAATATTTATTATCAGTTTAGCTTCATTTTACTAGAAATCTTTAAACAGTTTTTCTTTTTTTTCTTTTTTGCCAAAATGTTGCATCTGACACAGTTGCTACTGTCATAGCTTCCCTGCACTGGGAACGCAGAGCTTACACTTAAGATTCCAAAACAATATATTCAAGATAAAGAGCTTTCAACTTTAGTGCATATGGAGCTATTTAAGGATTGGTAAAAAGAACCCCCTTCCCCCTCCCAAATGAAGAGTCTGTTACAAAGAGATTTCATTACCAAAAAGTGAATATACAAATGCTAAAAAATGCTGGCTTGAAAAAGTGATTTCAGAATTTACTGTACACATTGTAACAATTTATTATATAAGCTGCTTCTACATGCAAGCAGATCTTACATTTGGTGTAAAACATTTATACACATTCTTTACAATTTGTACATATTTAAATGGCTGTATCAAACAACACGGCGCTATGGAATTTTGAAAGCAAACAACTAAAATTGGGAGGAGAAAAAGACAAGGTTTATAAAAGGTGAACAAAACTCGTGACACTGAGAAGCATCTAGACTTAGGCTTAGTCTTGTTTGGTTTGGTTTCAGGTTATTCAGGCAGATCCAGATTTTCCTTCTAGCACAAGAAAGTAACACCAATGCAAAACAGAGTAAGGCAACTATTGAACCGGCAGACTGTACCCGTCACTTAGAATGGCTTCTTGGTAAAATGCCTTTTTAGTTGTTGTTTTTTAAAATTAAAACATTTATTTTCTAGGCACATTTTAGCAAAAACTGCATTTTGGCTTTCCTGCTTGCCTATGGCAAGAAATGAATTGCTGTACTTGGTGCCCATTGTGAACACAGTTGGTGATGGCTTTTTTGGTTTGATTCTGTGAAAAGCCAAGGCCTCAAATGGTATTTCAGTAGTAAGGAAGAAGATACTGAGTCACTTGATAAAAGATGATGATCAAAGAACAGAGTTTGTGTTTTGACTAATTATGTTATTCAGTACTTTTGTCACCTTTGAGTTTGCATTAGAAGGCAACAAAAAGTTAACCTGAACCTGTGTGAACAGCACACCATACTACTATACGAAGACCTGAGCTTAGTGGGAATTTGGGGATGTCTACTAGTTGGGGTTAGATGTGGCAGTGTCCCCTCTGCTGAAACATTACAAACTGTCAGAGGGGAAGCTGGCCCTGTACAGCACTGAGAAACACCAGTGCCTTACAGCATAACATTGGGGGTGTCAAAGTGCTGGTATGGAAAACTGTTTTTCACACTTTCCTGAATGGCTCGTTCCTTGTTTGTACTTTGTCTTCTTACACAGTGCATAGTGAAAAAGTGAGCCTGACAAGCTCTGAGGTGGTACACCACAAGAACAAGATTGAGTTAGAAGGAAAAAGAAGAGAGGGAAGAATGATTTCTATTTACCAGAAGTTATACTGGGAGCAGGATGCCATGGCTGCATATGGGAAGCAAAACCTAAGAACAAAGCGTTCATTCAGGAGATTATCACAGACATGTGCCAGAAACATACATGAATATAATTCCTCCTGGTTACTGAATCGCTGGAGAGCTCAACTGAATATAAAGAATATTAAGTAATTTTCTTAAGTTTGTTTGCTTTCCCACTTAAAAAAAAAAAAAGCTACAAATGTGTCACTCTGGTGTTGATTTGGAGTTTTTGGAAGAATATCTGAATGACAAGTCTTCACGAAGTCCATGGCAACATATCAGTTTGATAATTTAGATCCCTATAACTGAGAGCATTACCTAGCTGTTTTATTTAAATAATGATACAAATGGGAGAGCTTTCAAGACAGGAGAGCCTTATTGTATGATTTAGGCTGATAAAGTAAAATTTTAAATAATACTTTTTTTACAACTGATTCTTGTTGGTTTGGGGTTTTTTGGGATTTTTTTTTTTTGCAAAGGCTAACAAATTTTTATTAGCATTGCCTCCTCATCAGGAAAGCACTTTGGAGTTGTTCTTTATTGTTGAATACTCCTTATTCTCTACATCACAGGAAAGCGGCTGAGTGCCTGCCTCAGCTTCTGTGCAATCTGAAACAAAGAAACAGAAGATATTTAATATGTACTCACTTTACACTGTGCAGAAATATGATTGCAGGCTAAGAAATTAGGTGTTCCCTTACGTGATGAAAATCTGCAGGCGTTACTGCAGGTTTTACATATGCAGGACTCTCAAAACATTCCATTATAAAGACTTCTCATATATACACTTTCTGCCTTGTTAATTTGGTACTTTCACTGCTTCAGTTGTGTTGGAGAAAGCATTGTAGGCAGGCCTGTTATTCTGCCAGTCTGTTTACCTAGCACTGCACTGCACCAGAGAGCTACAGGAACAAAGCCAGATTTTCCAGGAGTCCCACCTCCCTGCTGAAGCAAGGCTGAAACATCAGGACAGAGCTCCTGTGCACTCCCCACAGTTCTCAAGGTGTCCATGACCCTACATGTGAACACATACTGGGGGAGAGAGGATTGGTACAAGAAAACTGGTGAGGCTGCAACCAGAAGGATCTACATGGACTGGACAAGAGGCTGAAGAAGGTAAAGGGAAACCTAAGCCTAACCCCAGCAGATGTGTCAAGAAAAGCAAGCAAAGTGACCTGATGGGGGGCCTGCAGTTGTCACCCACTAAAGATACCTCTGAAGCTCCACTGGCAACTTTTACAGCTACGAAGGGGCACCAGTTACTTTTGACACTCGTTCTAGTGATAGAAGTCAGGTTCCAACACATTCAAACTCAAATGTTTTACCAGCATATCACATTAGAAAACTTGTTTATTTTTAAAAATCACAAGGAATACATGCATAAGAACACTGTTATATGAGAACTACAGTGGTAGGGAGAGTGCTCATATTTAACATATTTAATGTCACCTGAAACATTCCTGTCCCACACTTGTATACATCAGACTTTAAATCACAAAAGCTTCCCTTCTCACTCCCATCCTATGGGAGGAAAATTTTGTTGAAATGTTTTACTGTTCTCTTCAGTGCAGCAGGCCTTGCTTACTGCACATCACAGAACTAAAATTTTTTGGAACTCTAGTACCGGCACTGGGGGGAAAAAAAAGTCAAGCTATCAACAATATGGTTTCTGAGCAGTGGTTTTTAGTTCTACTAGGTTTATTGTACCAATCACGTACATAGGAAAGTATCTATAGGAAAATACTTAAACTAATTATTTCAGTTTTCAAGTTTTTTTACAATTACTTTTACAATTTTTTGTACAATTCTTTAAATATCTGCTCTGTGGGAGCATGGATTAAACTCTGTTTCCTAGAAAAGTAGCAGCACAGTACATGCCAAGCAAACAATGCTGAAGCCCTGTCCCTTACCGTTTCGTAGAACTGTGCCTGCTGCTCCAGATAGAGACGAATGACGCTGTTGTAGTCATAGATCCGGTTACTGTGGAAGTGATTCATCTCAGCTGCAATCAGACCCAGGAGACAAATTATTTCACACAGGCATTTATAATTAGGAACAGTTTCACTCAGTTCAAGTTAGTTACTCTGCAGCAAGCTCAGTGTCCAGCCCTGCCAGCACAGTTCCTGTTCTCAAGCTTCCACAACCTGTTCTGCCTGCAGCACTCGAGTTACAGTGGAACTGTTTGTCAGATTGGTAGGGGGTCAATTGCACACCAAGCAAGCCAGGTTCTTGTATTACAATACTCAGGTGCACAAAACTTGATAAAAAAATACAAGCAGAATTTTCTACTACTGAGGTAACTGTTCCTTCCTGAAGGGTTTCCAACAGAATTTTGGCTAGGACATTCAAGTTTCCAAGGATATGGATAGCAAGATGTAAGCCACAGCTGTAAATATTTAGATTTAAAAAAAAGAACGAAAAAGATACAACCAGTAGTGTCTGATCTGTTCTTGACTTAGGCTGTTACAACAGATACCTGAGAAACAGCATTACTGAATCTATAACACCTTACACCAATTTCTACATCTCTTCTCAGGCCACAGCTTATGGCTGAAAGAAGTTAAATATATTTTGAGATATCAGTGGAGGGAGAAGAAATATTCTACATTGTAAAAGTCATCCTGGAGATCTCTTCCACAATTACCACACGTAAAACACAATCATCTTGCGTCACTGTGACTAAGCAGAAGGGGGTAGGGAGCTTTCTTGGTTGTTTTTAAAATCAATTTTGTGTGCTGCTCTGACTTCGTCACAAAATATATCGAGTATTCTTGACTTTAAATCATCTAGAAATGATGCAACCCCCTCAGTAATGAGTAATCTCATTGAAGTCAGTAACAGGATGCACTTAATGGCTTGATATCCTGCAGGATTGAGTCCTGACTCCTCACTTCCTCAGTTTTTCTAGTGCAGTGTGCTGCACCTTATATTTACAACACCTCTAACCTAGAGACGAAAAAGTTCGTTCAAAAAACATCCAGGAAATAAAGATCTTATCTAAAAGAACATGAATCTCACCTGGGAGATGGGTTATGTCCAACTAAACTAAAAGTCAGAAAAATATTTCTGCTCATGATGACCACCTTCTTACACCAGGTCCTTGCTTTTAATTGGAGACATTATCACTTCCAAATTAAAGAATCAGCCTGGGATAGTTGTTTTGGGGTTTTTTAATTGCATTTTCAAAACATGTGTCTTTTAAAAGAGCGATGTGAGATTAAAAAAAAAAAAGGGGGGGGAAGGCAAAATAACTTCAATTTAGAAAAACCTAAGCAGGTCACAACAAAACCCCCGCGAACAACCCATGCCCAGGTTTTATTCTCGGTAGCAAAAGATTTTCTGTCAAAGTATGCTGCTTAACAGAAGTCCTTCAGAGGTCTACGACTGCCATTTAGCTCAAAATTTGGTTTACCTTGTAGTGCATAAGCCATGGTGCTCACACGTTTCACCATGTTCTGTTTGTCTTGAGGCGTTATTTTACTGGTTGCAACTAACTTGTCACTTTCCTTCACTCTTTCTATTGCTCCCTGTAGAAACCAAATGCAGAAAGGTTAAAAGAGTAGTCAACTCAGGGGTCTTCATAGTAATCTAAAATGCCACAGCTACATTCTGAGCTTGCATTCAGTACGCATATGTACACAAAATGATCAATTCTGCCTTTCATCCAAAGTTTGTTATTTCACTTCATTGCTTCCAAGAGTCCTTGCAAAAAGTGACTTCAAACACAGGCATGATCAGGGTAATTAGCAGAGTGGGTTTGGTACAGGCAGTAATACACAAGGATATATACAAAAAGGGAAAATGGACCAAGTTTCAAATTACAGATGACCAACATAACTAACATCCAAAAGCCTGTAGAACCTTATTTACACATTTTACAAGATGAGGCAACATAAAACCGTTTTTCAAGAGACTACAACTCATTGCAATGTATAGCCATTGATTCAGGAAAATCCTTGAGTCACGTAAATATACCATAAAAAGATATGCCTCCACTACACAATGCACTTGTGCCAAACAACATGCAAGAGAATCTATTTACATGTCTCTGGGCAGTAGGTTTGTTTCAAGTTTTAAAAACCTTTCTTCTCCTTTTATGGTATTTCCCCACAATGATTCTGTGGGATGAGGGACTGTAAATGTCCTGAAGAAAGAATACACAAATCTGATAGGCTTTTATTTTGATTGCTCTCAGAGGTATGGTTCTTATGTTCTTGTTCTATACATTTAACACTTCATGTGATCAAAAAAACCCCAACCCCATATATTTGTGCACTTGTTTTAATACTTCACAATATTTAGTTTCCTGAAATACATTGCAGCAGACACATGACCATAAGGAAAACTCTATGACAAAAAAAAAAAAAAAAAAAAAAAAAGGCAGAATATTCAAAACTACACTGTGGCTTTTGTATTACAAAGTGTTGGGTTTTGTTTCCGATACTTTGTTTCTTTGTTTTTTCTTCCCCTCAGAAATGTTAGAGCTTAGCTCTCGTCTCTGGTTTTTGATATTAAAGAAACTTCTAGGCAGTGCATGATTATTTATTACATATCAGCAAGCCAGCCATGCAACTATACACAAACAACTTTTTCTACAATACTTGTATGGTTTTATTATCACATAAGGCTCAAATATTACAAATTTACACTACTGCTATTCACCTCCCTGGGACATAAGTCAACCTGAAGAAAATCATGAACCTTCTACTGCTCTGCTATAGAAGAAAGTCATTATATTCTTGACAGAAATCCTAGCTTTCCTTCCCTCTAAGTACTTCTTATTTTAAAAATCAACACACCAGTTTCACAGAAACTTCTAGTGTTTCAGCAGCAGGGGCCAGGCTGCTGCACAAATGCAGGGACCACTTTTGCTGCTATGCCCACTGCCCAGCCCTTAAGAAAAAAGGTTCTTCACATACCTTATGAGCTGCTATGATGTCAGGGAAGCAACCAAGAAATCCCTTATATTCATGATTTGTTTCCATCAAAAAGTGAAGATCTTTCTTTGGCTAATGAACAAAGCATAAGCATTAGTAAAAGTATCTGTGGCAAATTAACATCACAAAAAGAAACTATGATGCCAAGAAAGAGCAAAGAGGAAAAAAGGGAAGGAAACAATTGAAAAAACCTAAACCAAAATATTAATTGTTTATGCAAGTTTTTCATATATGAAAAGGTTTTTTAAAAAATATAAGCTTTTTAGAGCAAGGCATGAGCATCATTGTGCAGATGCCTCTGTTCTTTGTTTCATTTAACACTATCTCATGAAGTGAGGGCTTTTGCCTTCAGTTTTCACTGTAGAAGGATTTCCAGTACAGTCTCTTATTGCATATACAAATATGTACATGCAGAGGTGCATCTCCTTAGTTGTCAACATGGAAAGGGGTTTTAAGAACTTTCAGACTAAGCCTTGAGATAAAGAGATTCCGCATTTTGGAGACTTTAAGCGTGACATGCTAAACATCAATGTATGTCTTGAATACCAATCAAGGTTTATTTAAGCCAGATTTTTGCTGAAGCAGGCAACCACATGTCAAGGTAATGGAACAGGTTCAATACACAGGTATGTCCTCATATGGAGCAACAGCAAAATCTGGATCCTGTAGATATTTGGGGAATGCAGAGGGAAGGCAGAAACTCTGTCCTTGATTAAATGTCATTCTTTTGTGTCAATAATGAATACAGTTCACAGACATCAGAAAATGAACACGTTTAAAGAACAACAATCATTTTAGTATTTTAGAAACCAGAATGTGGGCTTTCTGACCAACAGAAATGCCTTCTCATCACATTCCCCCGGAGCAGACACAGAGTAGAAAAGAAGATGAAAATACATTTAAAAGTGTTAATAGCAATTTCATTTAATTGGTCTATAGCACTAGCAGCTATGTTTTAATCGAAGAGGGAAGAAGAAAAGTCAGAAATAATCCAATTAGGTGATATGTTTGTACACACTACGCCACTGTGTTCGTAATACTCCTACCTGATCTGCTACAAGACTGGCAATTTCTTCGTAAGTTTTCCCTGCTTCTGTTATTGCTCCATTGAGATCAGATTCTCCTAGAAGTAAACATCAGCGTTCGAATTACAGTAAGTCAATTACAACAAGAAACTTGCCTTGCTTCAAGGCAAATTTATGAAATAGCCTATTAACAAATGCCTAGCCATCCTTTTATAACCAGCAGAAATAAAGAATTTTAAAAAACATTAAAGGAGGAAAACTGAAGGTCTTGTAGAAAATTAATGTATACCACAGTACTTGCACTACTTACTTCCACGTTTAATAATTTTATGCAGTTTAAATACACAGGTATTCCTTCCTCCACAAGGGGCAACAGGAAGTCTACCAGGATTGAAAGGAAGGAAGAATGAGGAGGGTTACAAAAGACAGACTGACAAAGCTGATGTGCTACTGGCCCTGAGCTCTTTGACCATCCTGGACCATAACTGTTCAAAGGTCAGAGAAGCAAAAGGAGGCTCAAGTAACTTTTTTCCTTGACAAGACGTCTAATCCTTTAGGGAACTCTTTGATAATATTTTCAAGCTCTATAAAAATCACTGGTTTCTGGAGTGAGTTTCTAACTCTCATCCTCATATGAGACAGATCAAAGGGCCCTACAATCTAAGCTTAACAATACAGACATCACCATCAATCCTAAGCTAGACAACACCACATAACACTGTATTACTAACAGGACAGGCTACGTGGGACAAAGATGGAAACAAGCCTTACATTCTTGTATGTTTCATGCCACTTCACCTTCCCATCCATGTTAGCTTGTCCAAAGCACGTAGTCAACAGTACAGAAAGCAAATTGAGGTAGAGAGTAGAAAGGCGAAGGTATAGTTTGCAGATATCAAACTTTAGTTTAAGAAAAAAATAGTTTTCTTATGCTTTCAGACATGTCTTGATATTAGGCAGTGGTTAGTCTTTTATAAACTTTTTCATTTTATTCTAAAGATATTATCAGTGACTTAACTGAAAAGTACCATAGATTTCATTAATGATTAATCTGAACATTAAAGTATCTTGTCTTAGTACAACATATGGTCTAATCTACATTAGAGATTTATTATGTAGGATTCCTTCATTTTAGCATGTCCTAAAGGAAACAAGGTAATGACAGAATGTTGCTTCAGTTCTATCAATCAATTCCTACTTTCCATTAGACTGGTTTCATAAAGTCAAAAAGCTATGAGGCAAAGTGTCCGATCCTAAGACGTAATAAATCCAGTAACACAAACACTGCTAAACAAATCATTCATATTTCTCCTATTTGGGCCTGTTAGGATAAAATAAAAATAAAACCAACACTAATTCCCATTGTGAGACTCAAGAGGTACACAATTCATAAGATATCTTCACCTTTTTGTAAAACAACAGAAAAAATTGGAGGGTGATCAATTTTATTATTTCAGGCTTAAGGCTTATGTATTTTCAGTATTTCAGAACTCTTCTGTCTGCTCAGAAGTAACCTTGAAGTACCTGCTGCTTAGGCAACTGACTCTTAGATTTTGGGATAAAACATAGTGTGGCTTCAGAATCAGAAGCCAGGTTGGTCTAGATGTTGCTGTTCATTTTATAGTGCCATAAAAGATGTTTACTTTCCCTATCTGGAGGGGGGAAAAAAAAAAAAGAGGAAGAGTGTATATATTTAAGTTGAACAACAAAATCCTTCCATTCTGTGCCAAGCTCACTCAAGGAACCTTCATAGATCAGAGTTTTAAAGGATTTAGACAAACTCTCCCAACACCAATCATCTTTTATTCTCAGCATTCTCAGCTTCTGAACCAATGCAAAACTGGGAATTGCTTTCTTAACTCAGTCTGTGAAAGTTGAGTTGGGTCCGAGTGCAAGGATACATAAGCATGTCAGGGGTTCTTTAATCAATGGAAGAGCAGAAAGCCCCAAATGTTGATAACATTTATAACAAAATTATGTTAGTGTTCAGTACATATATTCCCAGAAGAATAGGGGGCCTAAAAGCTCTGACTGAAAGCATCTATAAAAAGAGCAGTTAAAATGGCCAGTAATATTCCACAGATATATCAACCCAATCACATGGAGAAACATATTTTCATTGATTTACAGGCTGCATACTGTCATAAGGAGACAAAGAAAGACATAAAACTATGAGAAGCCTTTTGGAGATGTTTAATAGAGCATCTCTTAGTTCAACTGCTTGGTAAATTCCAGTGATAATAATTTCAGAAGGAATATACCAGACATATTGGGGGATAATATTCCAAGTTTTGACTGGGACAGATGAATTTTTTTTGTCAAGAAGTATTTTAGTTTTCTTTTCTTTCAAAGTACATTTTAATATAATTCAGTAGGAAAAATCACAAAGTTTGATGTACTAGCAGAAAATACTTGCAGCAAAGCTCTTCTTGATAAGTACACTTCAAACTGATACGTGCAGCACACAAGCAGCTTGTAAAGCAGGATTTGCCTGTTGCTAGCTGACAGGATAGTGAAACTTGCATGTAACTGCCTAACAGAATTCCCGAGGGGTGATGTAGGATTAGGAGACCTTACTATGGTGAATGGCATACCATTCATTCACATTTCTTAATATAGGAGAAAGACTCCTCCAGATTTGGTGCCGCAAAACAGAAGCCATGCTATTTAAGGCTGTGTTAACCTTAGAGTATCCTATGATACAGTAATATAGGCAACACGTGGCCAGGGTGCAGGACACTTCCAGGCATGTTCTGGTACTGTCCAACATGCATTTTTGGACAAGGATTGTGCTTGCAAAGTGTGCATTCTTGGAACCAACTAGACAGTACATAAGCCCATGGCCAAGTTAAATCAGAACCTTTCTGTACGTCCTTAATACTTTTAAAGGTACCCTTGTGTCTGCAAATACTAGAGACAGATCCCTAACACACACTGGGGCTGGCAATGAATAGATAAGGCTCATTCTGTAGCATGAGAAAAAGAGCTAGAGTGAGTCAGATTAACAAGTGTATCTTGCCTGCTGCAATCTTAAATATCTTAAGCTAGAAAGTAGAAGAGAAGGCAGTAGACATCACCACATAAGATTTTGCAGAGCAAGCAGGCATCACTAATAAAAGTGGTATGGACACTAGATACATCCTATCCTAACTATGCAAATGAACCAACTAATAGTAAATGCAGTATGTCAGAAGTCAGCTACCAGTAGCTAGAAATGTTTCTGTCATCAAATCAGTCATTTCAATCTTTAGTGGCCTATATGCTTACATTTTCAGAACACTAGTATTACAAAAGATTCAAAGAACCAACCCAATCAAAACAAAAAGGCAAGGATGAAGACATTAAGCTCCCAACAGAAACTGAACTGAGTGCCCTTAAGCATGACTGAATGAGCCATTCCTCTTTACTGATAGTCCAGAAAAATCATTCATCATACTAAGCCTAGCTACTACTTCATTGGAAGCAATGTGTCCTCTTTTAAATACTGGAAAGCTGTGCCCTAGTTTAAATCCAGGTGCTTACATCTCTTGCAGAGAATCTGCTTAATCCATAGACATGAACCTGATGGAATCATCAGGTGAATCCATACATGAGCAGCAGGCAGGACAGAGAGAAGCAGTGAGAAGCCATTTAAAGCCACATGTGCATCATACTTGCTCTCTCTTCCTGGGAACTCAAATTAAAAAGCAAAGAATCTCATACATTATTACTTTGGAAATAATACAAGGCAACAAGTTATTGCAAAGAGCAAAACGTGTGGAATCAAGGCAAAGGCATCTGTAGGAAGGGCACTTTTCTCAACAAGATACAGGTGCAGCCAGCTATGACTGGGCAAAGAGCAAAGACAGACATGCTTACCTTGTTCCCAAACTATCATGGGATCTATTTTTTCATTCCATTCAAAGACGCTGGAAAACAACTCGAAGCTTTCCTTTCTACGGCTGATCTGCAATTTTGTATCCTAGCTTTATGACACACTGTTTTCCCTTTATCCTGGCAAAAGAATGTGCTAGAGCCCAAGCAATTTTCAGTCCTTTCTCAAGACTTCTTGCTACAGATTTTATCCAGGCAGGATTGATAGTTTTCTAATCTTCTCTAAAAATACATAACCATGCTTGCAAATCCCCTATTTCATTCTCACATCCAAAAGTGACTTTTTAGGCAACATGCTATGCTCAATTCTAAGCAGACAAGACACAGAAGAAAAAACTATGGGGCCTATTTCCAATACTTCCAGCAGCAGAGAATCTATGTTTCAGAAGGTTGCATTTTAGTACATCGTTTACGGGGCTAAATGTTTTAAGATTATAAAGCAAAAGATAGATGAGTAGTCAGAGTAAGTACTGGCCAACTGAAATTTCTCAGATGGAAACATTTCAGGAAGCTTCTATGCTATAACATTTAAGGTTTCAGAACACAGTAATTTTGCTATCAAGTCTAGAAACCAAAAAGCAAAACCTCAAACACCTTTGAAAGGAGAATCCCAGGGAAAACTGACTCAAAAGGCACCCTCTGTATATGAGGAAATATTTACCAGTTGTCAGGAAAACATCAATAGAGCTTAGCATATCAAAGCAGAATTTAAAATTTGGTCTAAAGACTATATATTTTAGGAGAACTTGGAGCAATTGATGCCCTCCTTTTCCCTCCCACAACTTTCATACCTAACATGACAGGGTCTTTTTTAGGGCTCTTGAAGGAGAAGCAAAGGTGAAGGCCAACCTTCCAGCCCACATAATGGATTACAAAACAATGTAGTAAGTTTTCCATCATCATGTGGAGTTGTTGTATCATGGAGTCACACAATAGTCCTGTGACAGCTATTTTCAAGGCTGCATTTTTTCTCCTTTTTCTTTGATATCAAAAATGCTACAGCATGTTTGGTCAGTCAGGTCAGTGACCAGATTATATATTAAGAGATCAAACTAAACTCTTCCACCACCACTAATGCACCACAAGATTATACAGCGAGAGAAGACAAGATTGCAGACTAGAACATGAAAACCCCATAACATACACAGGAGAAAGGTTTCAGTATTTTTTCCAGAACCGTGTTCGACATTTAAATCTCAAAGAGGAAAGCATTAAGATCTTTGAGGAAAAAAAAATTAGTATGATGTAATTAAAATGCCTCTTTTTAAGCAAAGTACAAATGAAGCTATAGAAGTACCTTGGTATCCACTAGTGCTGAAGACCAGTGCCAGGCTCTGCAATGCTTTTCCTATCTTCTGGTATTCCTTGGGTAGTGCTGAAAATGGGAAAAGGATGAGGAAAAGAGGGGAAACAAAAGCAAGAAACCAACAAGGGTAAGTGACACAAAATCTGCAGCATTTCCAAAACCTAATAAAGCAGATGTCAAAAACACCAAGGTTTTACATTTTCTCTAGTGACACATTTACAATCATAATTGTTACCCCCTCCCCTGCTACACATGTTCTAAAACTGGATAAAGCAATTGCAATCTGGATTCTTGAAAGGTACAAACAGCTGGGGAAACTGTGTGGATGCTATTAAAAAAAATGAAATCTCATTGTATTTCCAGCTCAGTCCTCCTATGCATAGAGTGAGATTTTTCTCCCTCCCCCTCATGGGGGAAAGAAGAGGGGAAAGTGCTGCAGTGTGATATGGAGAATAGGTCTCATTAATATTTTAAGAGAGGAGATTATTATACAGACACATAATACCTAAACTCTCCTCAAATCATGAATTTTATATTTAAAGGCACTAGAAATCAAGATTATCTAGGTATAAAAATTATGCAAGTCTCTGAATAATAAAATAGTTTTTTATAATCTATTTATTGAACATGCATGCATAAATTGCTCCATCACAATTAAAATCAATCAGCTGTGATTTATGAGTGCATTCATTATTAACACTTTGAACAGCACTACTTCAGAGGCCTAAAAAGCAATCTGAAAAGCAAAAGCAATTTTTTATATGCTGCCAATGCTAGCAGAAAAAAAAACCAAGTAGATACGGGTTTGTTATCAAACATTTGTATTCAGAGGGTACACTGCTCAGGCAAATAGAAGCTTTTTAGCTGCTCTAGCATCCCACGGAATCTGATTTTTACAGAAGAACCCTTTTGTGTGGTATAAAAAAACCCCACACAATCCCCAAATCAACCCCTCACCACAACTGCCTGATTTTATTGATTATCTTTGATCAAGCTCTTTTCCAGAAGTCAAACTATTTATGATAACTGATATGTCTTATACAAGAAGTACAATTTAGAGTACTAGAGTTCTATTATCAGCCACTACACTGATACTGAATCTCCAGTGGAAACTTTAGAGAAGAATCTTTGGTTTCTTTTCACATGTATTTTAGAAGTTTCCACTGTGAGTTATTTTAAATCTCACTGAATGGAAGGCATGTAACTATTGCTCAGGAAGTGCCAAAAAAATTTCTGATTAAGAGTCAAGTCTAGAGCTGATAGGGAACTTAAAACCTAAGAGACTACTAAAACTTTGCATGTTCCAGTTTACCAGTCTTTTTTTCGTATTCAGTATGAATGTTTGGAAAATTAAAATTTTTGACAATCAAAACTGTATTGCTTCATCTGAGCTAACTATTTAATAGTTGTAAGTATAAGAAGAGTCATTCACTATCTAAAGCACTAGTATTGTAAGTTTAGGAAGATTTTAGCAGTTAAAAAACCACTGAATTTCTACTGTAAGCACAAGTGACAGCCAGCCCTTGGTTTGGTCACTGCTTCTGTAACTGCAAAGCAATGCTGTTTTTCTAGTCTCCTCTGAGGAACCTTATTCCTTCCCCTGTTCTCCACTTTCCTCTCAGTATAATTTGCTAGTGAAGCAAGTTCTGTAACATGTTAGAGCTCTGTCATGCATTAGACTATTTTTGACCAGCAGGAGGGTGAGTGGTGTGTAGAAGGAAACTCGTTTATTCAAAGTTGGGAAATGTAAATAACTTGAAGTTAACATCCTATAGGTACTGAAGTCTAATGTGGTCACTTCACAAGAGATGGAGCTTCTACACTTCCCATTCTCTGTGGTCAGCCCCAAATATTCAACTGTAGTGTTAGATCAGTAAGAGGCAAAAACATAACTCAGGTAATATACTCCAAGTACTAGGGACAATGTTTTGGGTTTTTTTTGTGGGAGTTAAAAGGAGAGTAAAAAAATTTAAGGAGATTCAAGGAGATTTATGTGGTAGGTCTTTGGTTGCCAGACACTACAGCCTGCCTTGAAGTGTTTCTTATTATGATTCTCAGCTGTAGTACCTGCTTCCTTTCAATAGCTGCCTTGTGGTGGCCACAAACACTGAACACTGCTGTGGACTAGGAAATTAGAGCCCAGGCAGAGTCATAGGGACTTGGTGTGAAGTTCTGCAACCCTAAATATCTGTGGGAAGGAAGAGACAAGATAGGAGAAAAAAGAATTGGGCTAAAGATTAAGTTAGAATCAAGTTGGTTTTTCTTTTCTTTTTCTCTTAAAATCACTCCTCCTAGCATGCAAGGATCCTAAATAAGGGGTTAATAAGATGCAATTATTTGAAAATATGATTTCATCAAATAAACAGGTCTAATTTGCCCATGTCACTAAAATGTAAATAAATGACCAATATATGAGAGCAGGTCCAACAAGAGCTTTAGCTGCATTACTAAAATTATTAAACTTTAAATATGTTTAAACCTATGGGCAGGGAACAGATATTTCTGAGATAAAGGAAAAAAACCCAAACGACCCAACAAAAAGCCCCACATCAAAGATACTAACAAAGAACTTGCACAATTTATATTCTTAGACTGAAAATATCCAGAATGTCGTATAATTCCCTTGATAATTTAGGAGTTTCTTTAAAGATGTGCCTTGAATGATACACATTAAAAAAAGAAGAGAGAGAAAAGCACCACAGAAATGACTGCTGAGTTCAGAAGGACACTTACGCCCTGTACACCTCTTCCAGTGCTCATGTCCCACTGTCAGCAGCTCTTTAACTCCATCATCCATTGCTTTGGTGAACCTACCCACTGCATCACATTTCTGTTCTCTGCGGCATTTTGAAAAAGCAAAAACAAAAAGCAGTTTAATAGATGCATTTAAAAATATGAGAGATTAAAATCAATTCCTTGAAATTTTTGCAATTTCACTGAATTCAGAATTCCTCTCTTTAGATAGAAGCATTATTTGTTTCAATTTTCCTCCTCTGTTAAACTTGTAGACACATGGCACTGGACTAGCACTCTTATTACAGTGTAAAAGAAGCACTGAAATTCATACAACAATGAAAAAATAAAAAGAGAATAACTGTTTGATAGAAGTTTGATAGAAGATAGATAGTTTGATAGAAGTCTAACATAAGTGAATAAAAAACAATATAACAATTCTCCTAGGGAAATATATATATGCATACTTTCATATTGTATTGTCAATATCATTGTGCTGAGTTGCATTATAGGGAGCAAAACCAGAGAATTCTGAAATAGTATGTGCCTTTGCACTCCTCTTTAAGCATGTTTTCATGCAGCTATCAGAGTTTTCCATTAACACAGCACTGCATACACAGCAGTGATTTGTGAACTCTACAAAAGAAAACTAAACACACATTTTATAATTTCCAACAAGAATTATTTAAACTGCATCAGATCTTACAAATGCTCTCAGCCAAAGCTTGCATGAGACAGCTGTCACAGTAAGGGTACAATGACTGACTCCTCAGAGTCAGGGCAGCTGTTCCAGCTGTGGTCCAACAACCTAGAGGTTCCCACTTCCCCACTAGCACTTCCTTCCTCAGCTGGAAACCATACATACATAGTTATTTGCACAAAACCAGCACCTGGGCTTTTAAGAGGCTCTTGCTTTACTCCCCTTACCTCAGGAGAAAAACATCCCTTAGTTTTCTGAACTTCATACTTTATGGTATCAATATCACCAAAAATGTATATGAACCTGTGCAAGACTCTCAAAATACTAGCAAAATTGTTCAGTAAAGAACATCTTCACACTGAAGAACCTAAGAGTTATTGAACAAGATGGTTTGTCTACTTTTTAAGTGGAGTAATGGCTTTCAAGACTCACATACACATTTAACGCACTAGAATATGTGGATATCTGAGATGCTGCAGTCACCCCTGCAACTGCTTGGAAATAGGACCCCAGCACTACTCCAGGCTGCCAGCCCCAGCCCAGGAACCCATACCCCTAGTGAGCATTCTCCTAGGACTGGTGTGCCCTCCCTGCTTGGGCACAAACTGTGTAGCAGATCACATGCTGGGCACTCTCTGCCAGGGGTATGTATGTAGGACATTCCCTCTCCTGCACCCTAGGTACAAAATCCTCCCTCGTTCACCCCGTCAGCTTTTACACCACTGGGATATACAGAAACCACATCACTTAAGTGAAGTAGACAAGGTTGAAATCCCCATGGTTGAAGTGTAAGTCACCTAAAAATGTGCAGGTACAGAACTACTACCACACAGCCATTACATCCACTCAAAATGCACTGCATCACTTGTATAAAGCCTGTATTAGGTGTAGATACACCACTGCTTTGCTACTAAAAACACCTCTATCCAGTTTATCCACACACACAGAGGACATTATCCAGGTTTCTGTGTTCTACAACAGCAAGAAAAGCATGTCATACATACTGAGTCTTCTAAGAAAAATTATTAAGCCTAAAGGAGTGAAATAAGGGCTGCATAGTAAAATCCAGTCTTTAAATCTGTGAAACCCAAATCTTTATCACCTACAGAATATACATTATAAAGTGCATATATATGTAATATACATATATATAAGAAATATATCCATTTGCACTTCCACAATGAGATTTGATAATCTAAGTCACTTTTCATTTTTAATAGCTTTCCACGGATTACAGATACTCAAATCACACTGTGTGTACATTACATAAAACTATTTAACAGAAACGTTGTTCAGCTTATTGTCCATCTACAATTATCCTAAGTTACTCGGTAAGTTCAGTATGTTTTGGAACTGTTGAAAGACTAAAGACCAAAACACACTTCCACAGCAATATAAAACATAACTTCATATGATCTGACAGTAGTCTATCCCATCAACTAGTTTTACATAAATTGTTTTAGGATTAGTATTCAGCCTCTGAAGTCAAAAAGACATCACATTGAGTTCCATCAAGTATTGGAGGGGTTGATATGAAAATCTTATTATTTAAACAATTTTTCACCTCTGCCTTGATGAATACCTCTTCAAATCCATACATATATGTACACATTCAGTATCTGAGTTTTTGATAATTTCAGCATTTCTTATATACCCAGATGCATAATGCTCATACAAAAAGAAGTCACCTTACATTTCTACCATGTCCAAGTCAGGAGCTTCTGGTTCCATTGTAGAAAAGATCATGACTCCTACAGTTTCATCTTTTTCTGCCTTCCGCTTTCCAGTTTTCCACTCCTTATTTAAAAAAAAAAGAGGGAGACATAGTTTGACCACCACTCATCCTTCTTTAAGGGCATGCTCTTAAGGAATGAATGAAATGTTTAGGAGAACTGTTAACCAACAGATCACCCCTGAATTAATACCTTTCATTTAGAAATGAAAACTTCAGAATAGACAAGGCTTTTTACAGTTTCCCAAAGTTCTCCACCTCCCCCTTTGTGGTAGATAACTTTGTTATCTAAATTCTGGGATCAACAGACCCTTCTTGTGTATTACTGAAATACAGTGTAACAACAATGACATTCAGCTGTCTCCACACATAGGATAAGTCTCATATCAGAAGCTGCTCAAGATCATGAAATCATTATGCAATTATCATACTAAGTTAGTGGTTAAAAACTCCCTGTGTATTGCAACATCTGTTCTGTTTATACATCTATAAATAAGAAACTAAGAAGTGCTGACTAGCTGGCAGAATTATACAACTCCCCACTAACCATCCAACCAGCATTTCACCAGGACTACTACTTACTATGTTATTAAGCCTCTGCTTATAGGATCACAGAATATTTCTGGTTAGAAGTAGCTCTGGATGTTTGTAGTTCAACCTCTGACTCAAAACTGGTCAACTGTGTCAACTTAGTCACAGGAGACCTGAACCTTGGAAATTTTTAAAACCAGACTGGATAATTAACTTTTTCAGTAAATTCTACGTATATTTAAAAATATGATTATTTTGAGCAAAGCAGAGCAGCAGAGCTTTCCTGTTTATTTCCTCATTACTAGCAGAGCTGGAGTTCAATCATGAAGAAACCATTATCTAATAAAAGTTACTTACTCTATTTATCATTTACTGAAGATACTAGAATCTCTTTTAAAAAGCATAATAAAGTGTGTGTGTGAATAAAAAAATGACTGGTTATATCAGGTAAGGCTGCAACAACAGTGCTATTACAACCCATTTCAGTGAAAAACTGTGGTTTTGAGGGACGAGGAAGGGGCAGAGAGTTGTTTTTAAACATACTACAGGATCAGGCACAACCTAGATCTGCTATGAAGTACCTTTTGTTAGCAGAGCAGCACCACTCAGAGGATCAGCATGATTAGTAAATCCAGCAGATACAGAGCAGGGAAACAGCCAGAAGTTTTATATATGTTCCTATTCTGCTGGAGGATACAAACAGTCCCTTGAAAGACTGGCAACAAAGTTATTTTGAAGAGCACAGCTGCTTGGGAATGGTGTGTAGCATTTCACAGGAGCAGTTGTACGCCTTGTTTTGATCAATCAGCTGAGCAAAGAATCCCAGCAGCTTCCAGCCCGTCACCGCTGCCCACAGTGGCGCGGCTACAGAGCCGAACTCTTGGTTTGAAGGGGAACTCTCGGGGGGGACAGCAATTTCTCAGTCTCAGTCTGTGTGTGAACTTTATTTCATTTCCTACCTTCTCATCTCGGAAATTGAGAAATTGCTGGAAAACTTCACTTTCTGAGACAACAGGATGGCGACACATTCTCGTCATCCAAGCTTGCAGCCTCTCCATGCGCATTTTGATAAATTCTTCTTCAAAGCGCCCTGTTAGACATTGAATAATAATTGTTACATTTACAGGCTAAGCACCTTCAAATTTCTTTTTTTAAAATTTAAACTGAAACAACCTGTAATTCATCTGGTGAGCTATTAACAATTTAATGACTCAGAATGTACAAGAATCACAAAATCCTGAGTTGGAATGGACTCACAAGGATCACTGAGTCCAACTTGTAAATAAAGGCCCATTATGCTAAGAAATCAAAAGAACCTTAAATTACAGTATATTGATTACTGATCAAGAGTTCTCCTTTTGAAATATTAACAAAACCTAATACCCACCCAAAATTCAAATATATTTTTTCGAAAAAAACAAATAAACTTTTTGACGGAAAACTTAGGTATTCAGATGACCCAAGAGAAAAGCCAGGCACAGGCTCAGAATGCAGGTATTTTTCAGTAAAGTCTTGGTCAACACGAGGTTCAAAAACATTGAAGAAAAAGGAACTACAATCCAAGTTGCCATGTACAAGCTAATAAAGCACTGAAATTAAACTGCTCAAAAAACACTAAAATTGGATTGCTCAAAAATATTTGAAATTACTCAAATACAAATCACAGATTTAAAAAGCAGTGCCTCCTTTAAACATACTTCCATATAGGTAAACTGGGGAAAAAAAATAAAAAATATCAATAAATCATATGCATAAACTGGTTAGAATATACACATACATGTACGACTGCAACTGATTTTTTTTGGTACTTAAGATATTTTTACTACAAAATAAATAAGTAACTATTTTTTCTTAAACCAGAAATGCTTCATCACTGTGTATTCATAAGAACCTTTTAGTTTTAGTAGAAACTGTCTTCTTGATAGTATCTTTTCTAATTTTGAAGAAATGCATGACATCAGACTTTTAAAGCATACAGTGAACAGGATTTGAAAGGAAAGAGAGATTTCTCCAGCATCAAACTCTTCTGATTTCCATAGCAGCACAGATGACAAACCTTGAATGCATGTACTGTTTCAATATAATTCTACTGCATAGTTACTATGGCAGCAGATCTACAAAGTTGAGTTTTTATGGTTTGGGTTTTGGGGCTTTTTTGGTTTTTTGCAAATACAGAAACTAGCAAGACTAGCAGGTAAATAACAGAACTAATGAAAAATGAACTTTGTGTGTGGGTATTTTTCCTGCAAATTAGCAAAAAACCAAAAAAA